GTCTCTTTAGGCTTGACTTGGCAATCGATGATGCTTATGCTCTAAAAAATAACACATTTTTAAGAGAACTAGTAAGAAACAAATTAATTTTACATTTAATCAATCTAAAACATTTTATTCATATAAGTGTTTCTATTATTTTATTATTAAATTTATTTATCTGATTGAATCATCACCAAACCTTATTTTTATTAAGTAGGATGATTTTTATAGTTCAAGTAGATAGTACTAGCATTTGCAAGTAAATATTCTTCATCGTGGGATCGATACTCTATTATATCACTATATTACTTGATTTGGCATGTATACATGCGTATAATAAGTGTTACACCTATATAAAGGTATACACATTCTATGATTCATAAACAATTGATCCAAGAGAGATGTATTAGGAACCCAGGGCAACTAGAGTTGATGATAGTCATTAGGGGTGGGAGTATTTCTATGAGGAACCCATATTGTGCATAGTCCCTGTTGTTTGGAAATTCTTTTCCAATGTAAAGGAAGCCCAAGACAATAGTGTATTTGTTAGATGAAAGTGAGTTCCATTTGATAGTAAGATCATAAATAGTATATATGGGACCTTATGAATTTAATGGCTATTTTTCTTTTATTATTGCCCCATTATACTATAATGAGATTTTGATATTTCTTATTGTAACTAGTACTAATGCCTAGTGGAAGATGAGAGAAGATGAAATCACATATTTTTCTACCTCTGCCAAGAGCTTAAAAGCTAAAGAATGTCATTATTTCATTTTTGGTAGATTAATGCCTTTATACCAATAATAACAAGGTCACTAAGGACAAGGCATTCCTCAATTATGCTATCTAAAAGGTATTCACTATAAATGTAGGAAAAATAATCCACTAGTTCTTATTATACATGACTTGGGGGTTCATCTCTATAGGTTTTGGGCATCCCTCTTTAATTTATTCTTTCTATATCTAAGAATGAGTCTTAAGAGAGTCTAGTGAAGAGTACCTCTTCCCAAGATATGCCTTATATAAAATAAAAATTTATATTTTATGATCCCTTCTAAGGAACTAGGTGAAAGTTCTAATAAACATGTACACTCTAAGTATAGAGGCTCCTCCCCTATCTAGACTATAAGAGATTAGGTAACTAATCTATATAATCAAGTTGTGGGAATCTAGAATATTCTGTAGGAGATAAGGTAGTGGCAATAGGGAATGAATCAAAGGATGAACTATTTGATGGGTCGTTAATAGAAATAGTATGAATATGCTAATGATTTCAATGCAACATCGGTTGCCTTTTTAAAAAGCTGTTTAATCTTCATTGATCTAGAAGTAAGTTATTTCCATAATCCCCATCATTTGAACCCTGTTGTGGGCCTTGATCATCAATAATAGTAGAAGCATAAGAGGAAGAAAAAGAAGAAGAAGAAGAAGAAGAAGAGGAAGAGGAAGAAGAAGAAGAAGAAGAAGAAGAAGAAGAAGAAGAAGAAGAAGAAGAAGAAGAGGTCTTTTTCCTTTTAGTATTATATAAGTTTGGGGAGAAAAGTTAATGAAATATCATTTTATTTATTATTGTGTTGTGCATTATTTGTCTTTATATATTTTGAGAGCACTTCCAAGTATTATAAAAATTTATAAATATAATTGTAAGATGTAATCTGGAAGATTTTAAAAGTAGATAAATAGTAGTACTAGTGATTGACAATATAATTTTGTTTAAATAACAGATCAATTAAAATCAAATAACAAACATTACTTTTGTTAACATTAGTATATCATGGTAAATGAAATTCCTAATCTCACTAAAACACTTGATAGATTTTCCTAAGCTTAACTAATGTCAGGCTTATAGAGAATACATGATTTGATTATATTTAGACATACTATAAATGCATACTAATAGAATTAGAAGTCCTATAATAATTTCTAGGTTGAACCAAATTATGTGATATAATGAGAAAGAGTATAGGTATTCAAAATCATAAAAAAGTGTTTTGCATAAATAAAAGGAAAGAAAATAAGGCCAAGTGATCAATAAAGTTAAAAGAGAAAAGACAAACTAAAGAAAAGAAGCAAAGAAAAAATATGAAGCTAAACAATGAAAAATAAAAAAAAATTGGTACCTAAAACTCAAGTGGTTCTACCCTAAGACAAACTATAGGCATAATGGTACATTAAGAAACATATATTATAACCTAAATTTATATAAATTGAATATCCTTTAAACCTAAAATTATTGAGACCTTGACAACCTAGTATGATTTCATTTTCAAATTAGCAGTTATTTAAGAAGAAAGGAAGGACAAATGGAGATAGGATATTGGTTTGTATTTAATATTAATGAATTAGTCATTAACAACTTGTTGAATTTTCAATTTACATGTGCTATGTTTTTTAAATTACAACTATTGGATTGCAATTTAATAAAAAAAGTTAAATGACCAAGTTAAGTGCATATAGATTACTTGAGGACAAATAATAATTTATGTTTGTAGGAATTTATTAAGTTAAAAATTGTAATAGTTTATGTTAAAGGTTTATTTGAGAAATGAGTCTATTGTTTTCATTTGGTGCAAGATAATCTTTAGGAGAAGGCATGATATAGCAAGAGTATATCACAATGTTACTTCATCGTACCTTGGAGCACCACAACATTTAAGGCAAAATTCAACTACAAGATAGAGAGCTTGGTGCTATAATGCCAAATCACCCGAGTGTCAGTATTTCAATCACTAACGTGTTGTGAAGCATAGATAACAACAAAGAGTAAGGTGCCATAGTGCCAAATTTATTGAGTGCCACAACACAAGTATAGTGCCATAGTGCCTAATCGCCATATCATTATAATAGAGTAGGTAATTTAGCTAAAGATGAAGTGACACATTGATTCATAATTAAAATTGCGATGCTAATTTTTATGAGAGTTACAATGTTAATTCAAATAATGAGTGTCATAGCGCAAGGACTTCAAACACCGTGAATCTAGGGGTAGTTATGGGGATGTTAATATAAAAAGAGGGCTGAATTTTAGAGGCTGGTGGTGCCATTTTATCATATGTTTCAATTGTAATTTAGTAGGAACTTGTTTTGAAGAGAGAGTGTATGCAATGATAATAAGATAGTATTTAGAAGAGTGGAGATTGTAACGTGTGCAAAGGGAATTCTTGATTCTATCTTTATAAAACTCATTGGTTAATCTTTTATTTTGATTATTAATTGCATTATTATGATTTATGTTTCTTACAATGACTTTTAGTGGTTAGATTCCACTATTATAATATTATGACATCGATTTAGTTTCTTTAGTATCTTAAAATTCAATCCTTCGGCAAGATAATTTTTTTTTATTACAAAGAATCAATAATTAACTAACAAAAATTAATAAATAACTCCCTATGGGAATGATAATCCCCTCATTCACTATATTACTTGAATGACAAATGCACTTGCATAACACCGTAATTAAATGTCGGGTCAACTCGCCTAAAATGAGCCACACTTTGATGAGTGCTTGTCGGACCACTAGCAAAAGATAGGCAAGTATTCTCCCTAAAAAAGCTCACATAATAAGAGCTAGTCCCTTAAGAACTTGATAAAGGAGGTAAACATTTCAATCAAGTTTGACCAAGAAACTCATCTCTGTAAGTCTTCAATAAAAGAACCACTCATTAATGCAGGCTTGGATTTTCAATCATTTTTCTAGTAAAGGTTATTGCTCTTCTATAAATATCCCAATATAAGCTAGAAGAGGTACACACTTCCAGAGCCCAAAGTGCTGGCTCCATCATCTAATTTTGTACTCAACTCAAAGCCACTCGTATGAACACTCACTTATAAGATTCGTCACTTGCCATGGGGAGTTGCCACTAATTCAAGTTGTTCTGCTTTAAGGATTTACTTAGAATATTCATCCTGGATGACTCATCTAGGTACTCGTCTTTGAGGACTTACTTAGATCCCTGACCCCCTGGTACTCACCACATCCCTAAGATATTCGATAGAGGCATCTAGAACTATGTTAACTATGTTAGAGATATATCACCACATATGTATGCTTCTGCCTAGTTCACATGCCTAAATACTCTATACTTATTAAATTATGTTTTCTTTCTCTATTTTTTTATAGACATAGATTTTTCAATTGTCCTCATAATCCTATAAATAAGGGGTTAAGAGGCATATTTTGGACTTTATGTTATTTTTATAATTCACTTAGATTTTTTGCTTCTTATATGCTCTCCATACATATTTACTCTCCCTCCTATTATCTTTCTTTGCCTAGTTAGACTTCATAGTAGAGTAAGGTGTCACCCATAAACAAATTTAAATTTAATTAGTTAAACTTTATAGCTAATTAAAAATAATTATAAAATAATTATAACTATTCAAGAATGAAATTAAAAATAAAATGATTTGAGGGAGAGATTTAGAATATAAATGAAAATTTTGAGAGAGAAAAGAAAGAGAATAATAACTGTGTTAGGATATAATAAAATACAATATAAATATAAAATTAAAATTTATTAAATTTTATTTAAAATTTTTGCAATATAATTTTTCATAAGTAATAAAAAATTTGAAAGAGGTGAAATTATTTTTAAATTCATTTTAATATAATTTATGAATATTTTAATTTTTTTTTGAAGAAAAAGAGAATTATATATATAAATATATATCCAATAAGCTTTTTTGCTTGTTTGCAATTTTAATAAAAGTTTTGGAAATATCAAACTATTTTGTCAAGCCACGATTTATGTGTGCCACCAAGGGTTTTACAATAACAAATATGTTCATTCTAAATTTTAACTTATGCAATTTATTTTGGTTTGTTGGTTGAGAGTTTTGGCTACCAAAAGATTTTAAGTTCGAGTCTTAAAAAATTCGGGAGAAAAATGTTCTGGATAGCTTGGGATGATTTTTTTATTGTTTTTCAAATTAACTTTTTTATTTTTTTTTCTTATAAACTGCTTTAAACAATAAAAAAAAGCCGTTCAAAAAAACCTATTCCACATTTCAATGTTCATCCACATCTCTCGCTCCAACCAGGTCCAGGAAGTGGTCCCTTTTCTCGCGTGCTCTTCTTCTCACATCTCTGGGAGAACCGATGGCCTTCTCATTCTTATGTCTTTCCTCCCGCATTATCAAATCCTAGGAGGAAAGGAAGCGTCCAAAAAGTTCATCGGCCTCTCGTGCTGCCTATTCATCTGTCTTCCCCGGTCCCCATCTCACTTCTACAAAGCGGCATTATCGAATCTGGGGAAGAATTAGGTGGCTAAAAAATTATTGTTTCTCGAGCTTTTTCTTAGCCTTTCCCCTCTAAGTGGGCATTCGTGCTCGAATATATAAGGTATAGAGGAACATAAATAAGCAAGGAGTGGGCTCCGATGGCAGCGAGTTCGATCCCGGCGGGAGGGTCGATTGACGGGTCGATGCTCGATGATATCATCGGGAGGCTACTCTACGGCGGTCGCGCTAATGAAGGGAAGCAGGTGCAGCTGTCTGAGACGGAGATCCGACATATCTGCGTTGAGGCCCGCCGGATCTTCCTCTCACAGCCTAATCTCCTACAGCTCCGAGCCCCTATCAATGTTTGCGGTCTGTGCAAAACCTTTAACTCTTCTTTGATCTAAATATCGGCATATTGCATTTCCTTTAATCTATACCTTCATTTTCCATTATAACTTTCTTTTATCCATTTCTAATTTCTTAAGTCATCCTGTGCTTGGGAATGTTGTTTTGTTAAAACTAGAATTTGGTTTACATGGAATTTCTTTTTATGGCATGTGGGGGCTGAGATGGATACTGCTATTTGGAAAATAAAGAAGAGATGGTTTGTTTGGCTGGTATGTACCTTTAATTGTATGGAATGGGCAAATATATCGGCTACTGGAAATATAATTATGCTCTGTCCAAATGTCTCGCGTGTGTTGCCGTCTTGATGCTTGAGTCGGTTTCCGTTGTATTTGTATTATAAATAATTGGATTTGAAGCAGCCATATCAATGTCCGGCTTTATTGGGATCAAAGCATGCAATCAATTTGGAAGTGCAAAAAAGATGCAGCAATTTGTAATCTTATTACCTTGGATAAGATGCTGTCGTCATAAGCCAAAGTTTTGGAATATGTCAATGACTGAAGCACATGCCGTTGTTGAATATTTATTTTTATTATAATTAGGATATCTTTGACTAACAATATAACTATTCTCAAGAGATTTGGTGTTGTTTAAAATGTATATGTATTTCAAATATAGAATAAAGTAAATATAGTATATTTTAATTTTTATTTTTTTTAGTTGTAAAATAAATCAGGATATCATTTATTTATCTATGGCTAAGAGTAAAAGAAATTAATTTTTCTTATTAGGGCACAAACCAATAGCAACATTTGTAGCAAACAATGACAACTTGCAGGGTGGCAATGATGATGGATGTGATTGGCATAGTTGTGGGTGATGTGGATGGCGGCGGTGTTGTGTTGTGAGTGATGAGATGATGTGACAATGAATATCTTGATTTGGCGCCTTTGTTGGCGATGTTGTTGGAAGATACTTATAGCATCAAGGGCCATTAGATTTGCTGTTAAAGGAAAGCATATTAAAATGAAATGCAGTGTAAAAGGAATGCAATGTATTTGAAATATTTTGAGTTCTTTGGATGAGTGTAAAATTAATGTAGGAGATTATTTTATTTATTTTGGCTTGAAGTAAAATGAATGCATTGAAAAGCATACTATTGGTGGTATATGGTGACTGGCGGCAGTTGGTGGCGTGAAACAAAGGTGATAAGCTGCAACAGTCGTTAGCGATGGTGGTGGTTGGTGAAGGATGATGACGAAGGCTATGATTACTGAGTTAGAGGTAGGTGGTGTGTGGTGGTTGGCACCAATGGAGGTCGGTGGCAAGAGGCAGCAAAGGTGGTTTCTAGCGGCAGCCAATGATGGTAATGACATGCTGTGGCAACAATGGTAGAGAATTTACAAAGGTTGTGAAAATTGGATTGGCCAACGAACTCGAATAAGAAGCTATTCATGATTTGATTGTTCAACCGGAGTTGAACCAGATGATATAATAAATATTAAAATTATTTAAATATAATAAAAAATATGTAATAATTAAAATATTAACAAAGAATATATATAATTACTTTTATTAAAGTTCATGAATAAGGTCCATTAAGTTTCAACATAAAACATATTAAGAAGCTCAATTAAACATGAATATGAATATATATATAAAGAAAACCCCAGCCTTCCCGGCTTGTGCTCTACTTTTTTCAAAATTGATCCCAACTGAAGTAGTTTGTGAGTAAGGTTTGGTTACTCTCTGAACTAGTAAAATTACTGTTCATTTTTCGAAGACGGAATATTTCTATCTTTTATTGTTCACAGGATATTTTATTTGGTGTTTATCTCCCTTTGAGGTACTTTTTATAATATTTTTGTTTTTGTTTTTACACTTAGTGTCCTTTTTATATTATTTTATATTTGTTCTTATCACATAGTGTACTTTTTTTTCTATTATTCTATTGGTGTCATTATCACTATACTTTAACTTGATCTCATTACTTCTTTGTAGCTCAAGTCTATCGTTTTACAATTGGTTGTTAAAATATTTTTAATTTTTTTTTGCTTTTGTTTTGTTTTTTTAATGAGCTTTGTTGAAAACAAATTTGATTATTTGGATCTGTCCATTTTAGAGAAATCAAAATGTGCTGTTTCTTTGGAAAAAGCAAAACACAATTGTTATTTTTTTAAAGTGGTTTTTCTCATCAGTTACATAGTAAAGAAGCTCATATGAACTCGCTTACAGATCTATTATTAAAGTTATCTAAAAATTTAGAATTTAATCATCATAAATTTGTAAACTCTTCTACTCTATTTACTGAGAAGTTAAAAGAGAAGAATCCGCTGATTAAAAATCTGAGTGATTAGATTACATATCTTAAAACTTCGCAAGAAAATCTGTATATGAAGTTCCAACTTCTTAAATTAAAAGATATACCTTCAAAAAGAGATATTAACAACTTATTTTCTTTAATTGAGAATAATAAGCCTAAAGAGATTGAACTCCAATATCGAGAACTATTATTATAATTAAAGAAAGATATTAAAGATATTAAATCTTAGGTTGATCAAGAAATTACCCAGTTAAAAGATTTATTATAGAATATTAAGAAGTTTCAAGAAAGCTGATGAGTGAACTAAAATTTAAGGGTGCAGAATATCTTACTGTAGTTTTTTATTCTTCAGCTTACTCTAAAGAAAAAGGTTTTGAAAGGTATATTGAGTCATAATCTATATCTAAAATGGATAGAATTACTACTTAACAAAACATGACTATTTTAGCATTACTTAGTAGTTTGCATTATTGTTTGAGTGTGATTGAAAAATCTCTTGAAAAAGTAATATGCCTTTTGCGTCAAAGCTAGAGACAGAGCTAAATTATATTACGAAAAATATTAAAGCTCTTTTCCTAGGTAAGACTAAGGAAACTAGAAAGACCAAAAAGACTTTTTAATTTCTGAAATATGATTGAACGAAGTGCAATTCAATTTTCTGGACCATCTCAGACTATCACAAGTAGACACTCTATATCGAGCCAGTCAAATAATTTATCAACCATTTGGTTAGATATAATATTTGATAGACATGGTACTTTAAGAGATTATTTTAGATTAAAAGAGGCTGTCAATATTAATAGAGATATTTTTTACGTTTTCTAATGATCATTTGAATAGCTTGAATCCTTCTAGATTGTATTCACAAGGTTATTTTAGTGTCAGTACAAGACTTTTCAAATATCATAGAGAAGTTTCATTTCATTGTCTTAATAATTTTGAGGTTAGACTAAACTTAATCACTCTTAAAGCCTCTAAAGAAATAAAAAAGAAAACACAAACATCGATATATCCATATCAGACAAGTTGTGTTTGAAATTAGAGGCCTGGTAAGAAAAAGAACTTGAGGTAAAGTGCTAATCTGTCTCTTTGATTCTCAGTTTAGTACTTCTAATGAATAAATTATTGGAGTCATAGAATTTGACATGAACAACAACATTGGAATTACCTGTATTGTTCCCAATATCACTATGACTATAGAAGATTTTGAAAACTATGTCAAAATATTGGTACAGAGTATAGATTAGGAAAATTTCCAAGGAAATAATATATTTTTAGATATAGCTATTCTTGGCAAAACTAGGAGTAATATCCAAACTAGATTCAAGATTAAACTTGAGAATGTTATAGACTCTTTAACCTCCAAAGGAGTTAAGTTCATTATGCCAAAAGAGGTTGACTCTAAATCACTTGTAGGATTAGAATGGAATATTTCTCCCCTACGAGAGAAAAATTCTATAACAATTCCTATGAAATACTCAACCTTCTTGAATGATGATAAAAGTTTGTCCATAAGATTTAGAAATTATAAAACTTCTAATCAAGATGATATAGAAGAATCTGATTTAGATTTGACAATGATTGGGGATGATGAGGATGATGAAGGTATTAATGATGGTAGAGGCTATAAGAATAAAGCCGTGTTTCGTACCTACATAATGTAGATACTCATTGGAGAAAAGTTCAAGACCTACAAAATTACTATAGATGAAATGGTAGAATTAGAAAAATTTATATATTCTATGTTTATTCTGAAGAAAATATTAAACTCTTGTATGTAGAAGATTTAGATTCTGAAGATGATATGTCGATCAAAAATTCTAAAAGAAAATCAGAAGAAAGGAAGGATCAACAAGTTCGAACTTTGGAAGATAAAAATGATCAAGAAGTTCAAAATTTGGAAGACAAAAAAGAAATCGAAGAAAATGTTGTAGATGTTCTGTCTGAAAATATTTTCGAAAATACCAAAAATATTATTAACAATCTCATTACAGATCATTATGAAAATCTTTTTGAAGATTATTTTGAAAAATTTGATGATATTGAAAATCTTATTAATTATTTCGAGGAAGATTGTTCTCGATATCACCATGATTGTAGAAGATTTTTAAAAGAATGTCAAAATCTTGGTATAGAGTAAAGGTTATGAAAAATTTCAAGGAAATAATATATGTTTAGATATAGTTGTTCTTGGCAAAACAATGAGTAATTTCCAAACTAGATTCAAGATTAAACATGAGAATGTTATAGACACTCTAACCTCCAAAGGAACTAAGTTCATTATGCCAAAAGGGGTTGACTTTGAATCACTTGCAGGACTAGAATGAATTATTTCTCCTATATGAAAGGAAAATTCTACAATAATCCCTACGAAATGCTCAACCTTCCTAAATGATGATAGAAGTTTGTCCATAAGATTTAGTATTTATAAAGCTTCTAATCAAGATGATATAGAAGAATCTGATTTAGATTTGATGATGATTGAGGATGATAAGTTTGGTGAAGGTATTTATGATGGTAGAGGCTATAAGAATAAAAGCGTGTATATCTCCTACCTACCTAATATAGATACTCATTAGAGAACTGTTCTAGCCTAGGATGCACGGACACGGACACGACGACACGGACACGGGACACGACATTTTTTAAAAATATAGGACACGGGTGCGGCGTGGACACGGCATAATAATTTTAAATA